CATACAGGGAAATGTAAAGTTGGTAAGTGAGAGAGAAGCAATATTCTTTGAAAAGGTTAGCTTTTTACTTCTTTGCAGATTTATGCCCTGTGGCTTCTATGCCCAGCATTTGTCTTGAGGTATCTTTACCACTTGGAAGAATTATGATACTTGGTAATTTTCGATATGAGTCACGAATTCTACTAAAGGGTTGTAATTAGGAAGGAAGGAGAAAATCTATAGAAGTAGCAGACAGAAGAAAACATGGGAAGATTGATTATTTCTTTGACATGTCTTCTTGTAGAGTAACATAAGCATGTATAGGTTTATATTTTTTCCTATACATACATACCTATGATCAAGATTAATTTATAAATCAGGCACAAAAGGAGATTAACAAAAACAACTAATAATACATTAGAACAATTACAAAGCATACTGTAATAAAAGTAACATGAATGTGGTCTCCTCTCTTTCAAAAACATCTCATTTGTGCTGTACTCACTCCTCTTTTTCTTATGATGTGAGATGATAAAATGCCTCTGTGATGAGATGAAGGGAGGTGAGTGTCATACGCACTGTGATGAGGCGTTAGGCTACTAATGACCTGCGGACATCAGAAGGAGCAGCGTCTGCTTCCAGACCTGGGTAACTGAAACCGTGGAAGGGAAGCCGCGGATAAGGGGGGAGTAGGGAATGTGGTTCCTCATCACATGCTCCTCTACACTGCTAGAAGATGAGCCCCTTGACATTCGGGGCCTTGCTCAGCAGTGAACCCATTGCATCTGGGCTGCAGTTATCAATCGTGGTCAAAGTGCTGAACTGAACTGAAGCTCTCTGGCATCCAGGGGAGCCCTGCAGACTGTGTCCCCAGACTGTTCAGATTTTAAATAGACATAAGGAGTCCCTCTCTTACCTTTCTTCCAGCTATGTAACCTCCTGAAGCTCCAAAGCTTTTGGTGAATGTGCCCATGTACACATCAACATCTCCTGGGTCCATTCCAAAGAATTCTACAACACCCCGGCCGGTGGGACCAATGGACCCAATACTGTGAGCTTCATCTATGTAGAGGTAAGCCTTGTACTTCTTCTTTAGAGCCACGATCTGGGGCAGATGCACAATGGAACCTTCCATGCTAGGGCATAAGGAGAAATGCTTGTCACTAGTGCGTACCCTTTTGGGAAGCTCTGTGGTGGTCTCCCTTCCAATACTTAGCCTTGCCCTGATGCCAGTCGGGGATGACTGGGCCATGCCATTCTTTTCTTCTTAAGGCACATTTTATTTGGCTGAGATAACCCTCTCAATCTTGTAAGGTTAATATTACATTGTTTTACTTGAAAAAATAATTTATACACAATGGATTTAAGTGCTTGAGTTGTTATAGCTAATTTCCAAGTAAACAATTGGCTCACTGCTTTGCTGATTAATTTATTTGTTAAGCCACATAGTGTAACTAGACTGAGCATTTTGGATTCTAGGCATTTTGCAAGTTTTGATTAAATTGCTCTATGGCAATAAAAATCGTTACCAGCCTGTCACTGTCTAATTGGCCAGTTCTGTCTGGCCTAAACTCAATGCTTGAATTGCCAGAGATTAAAAAAGGAATTAAAAACACACAAATAGTTGTATTTAAGACATGTAGTATTAACTAAAGCATAATAGATTTCTAGCGTCTCTTGTTCAGTAAACATTGGAAGTCAAGTTCTTATTTGAAGTGTAAATATATGTCCCCTCTTTTTGTTCCTTTAGGGCAATGGTTCTCAATCTTAAGTGAACATCAGAATCCCCTGAATGTTGTTAAAACACAGATTACTGAGCCCATCCCAAGACTTTCTGGCTAGTAAGTCTGCATGGGCTGAGAATTTGCATTTCTATCCAGCTTCCAGGAGAAGCTCTACTGCTGGTTGGGGACAACATTTTGAGAACCACCACTATAGATTGACTCCTTTGTTTTAGCCCTCAGCTCTTAATTTTTCATGGAATTATAAGTTGCAAAAATATATATCATGCCCTCCAGCAAAGGAAAAAATATGAAGTACATAAATACATAAAATTAAAATTCACATTTATATGGCATCTCTAGAGATGAATGGATTTAAAAGAACTGTTGACTCAAATCAGCTCTCAGAGCACTTTGTAGGCTATGTCTATACTGCACACAGTTTTGACTGAGCTGACAGGCCAGTTCTATAAAAACACATACATACTCACCATCACCACACAAAGGCACTTGTCAAACAGTTCAAGCAACTGGTCAATTTGACTCAAGAACTAATCAATTGACACAAACAGAGATCTGAACTTCTCTCTTCTTCCTAATTAGTTTATTTATTAAATTTTATGTATTTAAAAATAATAAACTAAAGTGTTATGTCAATTCAGTCAAAACAGCCCAGTTGGCTATGCAGTTACCCAGACCAACGGGTGCCAGTTTGGAGGGGTAAGATGATCATAGATGGCAACATTCATGCTTTTCCTTTTTCTTAAAGGGCTTTTTATTGGAGCAGCTTTATTTAGGCTCACAGCAAAACTGAGGGGAAGGTACAGAGATTTCCCTACACCCACTGCCTCAGATTGGCATAATCTTCCCCCTTATCAACATTCTCCCCTAGATGGTACATTAGTTCCAATTGATGAGACTACCTTGACGCATCATCGCCTTAAGTCTGGGGTTTGCCTTGGGCTTCACTCTTGGTGGTGTACATTCTATGGGTTCAGACAAGTGCAAAATGCAATGTACCCCTCATTATAATGCCATACAGACTATTTTCACTGCCTTAAGAATTCCACTGTGCTCTGCTGAGGCTTAACCCAACGCTTGGCAACCACTGATCTTTTCACTGCGTCTATAGTTTTATCTTTTCCAGAATGTTTATAGTTGGAATCACACACTATGGAACCTTTTTTAGATTGGCTTTTTTCAGTTAGTCATATGCATTGAGGGTTCCTCCATGTCTTTTCATGGCTTGATAGCTCATTTTTTTTTTTAGTGATGAATAATTTTCCATTGTCTGGATGGACATAGCTTATGTATCCACTCACTGACTGAAGGGCATTTTGGTTGCTTCCAAATTTTGTCATTATGAATAAAGATGCTATAAACATCCTTGTGCAGGGTTTTGTGAAAACACAAGTTTTTAACTCCTTTGGGTAAATACTGAGAAGCATGATTGCTAAATTGTTTGGTTAGAGTAAATTTAGTTTAATAAAAAATCCCATCTGACTGTCTTCTGTAGAGACTAACATTTTGCATTCCCACTAGCAATGAATAAGGATTCTTGTTGGTCCACATTCTTGCCAGCATTTAATGCTGTAAGTGTTCCAGATTTTGGCCTTCTCATAGGAGTGTAGTAGTATTTTATTGTTTTAATTTGCATTTCCCTGATGACATATGATGTAGAGCATCTTTTCATATGTGTATTTCTTCTTTGGTGAGGTATCTGCTAAGGTTTTGGCCCATTCTTAAATCAGATTTTTGTTTTCTCATTGTTATAACTCTTATTTAGCAGTTCTTTATATATTTTAGGTAGCAGTCCTGTATCAGATGTACCTTTCATAAATATTTTCTCCCAGTTTGTGACTTATCTTCAAATTCTCTTGATGTCATCTTTTGCAGAGCAGAAGTTCTTAATTTTAATGAAGTCCAGATTATTACATTTGTGTTTTTCACAAGTTCTTTCTAAAGAGCTGTTTTCAAATTTTAATAAAATGAAGACTAAATACTGTCATGTTCTCTTAGATAAGTTTGTGAGTTAATCCAACATTTTCTTAGATTGATTCCTTCTTAAAATAGTTTTGATTGAGGAGGAGATCGCACAGCCAACTGATTGCCTAAGCTTAGTTGGCAGCCATACCACTTATCGAGGTCTTGGGCAACTTACATGGAGTTCTCTGCCTCAGTTTCCACATGTGTAAAATAGGCATGATGATGGAATCTCTTATGAGGATGACTGGGAGTAATGCTTATAATGTGTCTGGCACATTTTGAACATTCAGTGAGTTCTTGTTCCTAGGGGAGCTTAGGAGGAAATGGTTGTAATAAAGTCTAACTTAAGAAATAGGGATTGCTTGACAATGCTCTGTGTTGAGTCTTTTAGCAAAGAAGTATATGGGAGTCATACATAATAAATGGCTGTATGCCCTCAAAATTCTAGAATTTTCTTCCCATCTTTAAAATGTCATAACTTAGTAACAAAAATATCTAAAAACCTTACATGCCACATAGAGCCATTCTTTGTGCTGGAACTGAATTTGGCAGGACCCAGCCAGAGTTAATGTTGAACAGTTTGCAGACATGCAGGGCAGCTAATTAGCCATCCTCTCTCGGGCTGGTCTAGCTGATGTTAGGAGTCTGCCCACCTGGTTTATATTTCTTCCTCTAAGATTAATGACTCTACAACGCTGCTGATTTCTGGGGTTAATGCAGGTACACATGAGTCCTAGAGAGAACTCAGCTTTTATAAAGAATTATATTCACCCACACTAAGTTTTCATTTTCTCAATGTGACCCAATTTGAACTGAATCTTTTCCTTTAGTGGGATATTGAGTTTGTATAAAAAGGTTATCTATGTTATTCCCATAAGTTACTGTCAAAAAACAATGCCAAAATTATAAAGAAAACAAGAGAAGTATTTTATCTTTTTCTTCCTGAATGGAAGGTTGTAATTTCTTTTGACTTCAATAGAATAAAAACAACTAAAATACAACTGTGGGTAAAGATAATTCTGCCAGTTAATTTGAAGCTCTGTGCTTGAATTATTCTTAAATCAGCAAACTGGTGAATAATTTCTCTATATATTTTTTATGACATACGTATTAGCTAAGTGACAAGATTCCTTTTGAAATCTCCCTCTCTCCACCTTATCCACATATAAACAGTGTTATATACCAGCAGGATTGGGAATTAAGCCCTTAGTTTGCCAACTCTTATGGTGGAAAAATCACCTCGGCAGGCCCCAAATATAATCCAAGAGAAGAAAGGAAGGTGGGAAGAGAGAAGGAGGTAAGACCAAGAGTCAGGCACAGGGCTGACTCCTTATTTACACTGGGCCTTTGTCTCAGTAGGCCTGCCTGATTGGAATCCCAGCTCTGCTTTCTCTAGTTATCTGTCCTGGTTGTGAGCTTGCTATGGGCTGGGCTTCTGCCAAGGACTAGCTGATGTGATCTCATTAATTTTACAAAAGAACCCTAGGAAGGGCACAAAGCAATAACAGGATTTGAACCCAGGTTCCAGACCTCCCTCCAAATCTTGACTCCTCTGTGTTCTATGTATAAGTAGTAATACCTAGATGATCTATCATCTATTACCATTACCCTAGCTGCTATCGTGGAGTTTACTGACTTCTCGGATTTAGAATCTAGTCTTTTATACCTTGATACCTGCCTGAAATTGTTTGATTTGGTTGACTCCTCTCTTCTGGAATTATGAAAAAATTCATTTATATGAGCTCTCTGTGATGGGGGGCCCATGGTGGTAAGTCACAAGCAAGAGACAAAAATATCTGCATGTGACAATTCAAAGGAGGCTTTGTGTAGATATCAACCAGGTACATATCCAATGTACTTCTCTAAGAAGTTGGAAGTGCATTTGTGAACTACTGATTTCACATTATTAACCCTGGCCCTTGGGAAAATCTTGTGGAAAGTAATTTCCTTTTCTGGTATGTAGATAAAGTGAAGTTCCTGTGGCCAGGATTCTCACCTGGCCCTGGTCGGCTAGCTCACTACACACATGTGGGCAATACGTTGTTATTGACTCTATGTTAAGGGCCCTGTCCAGTGCTCTGAGTGACTCGGCACAGTTGCAAGGCTGCCAGAGAGCAGAGCAGAGGCTAGAGTGGTGGCAGTGCTGAGGACAGAGACTGAGATGGCTGGGGGCGCAGAGGGGCCCAGAGGCAGAGACCGGCTTGCTGTGTGCAGACTTGCTCTGAGTGGACGGGATTCTAGTGATTGACCTGCCAACATGGGAATAAAGTTGGGTATAACCCTTCCACTCCAAGAACATTCTGCTGTCATTTCTTTGGTCACATTGAATCTATAGTGAACTTGTCTGGGGCCAAAACTCATTAGCAAGACCTGGTATAAATTATTCTATAGCAAATGAGATCATCCCTATGTTCCAGCCTCTGGTAGTCTGCGTTATTTTCTAGGTGTGGAAATTGAGGCCCAGGAGGTACTGAAGACTGTCTCACAGATGGCCACTGCTTCTTGTGAGTGATGCCTTTTAGACAGGATTTTTCTATGGATGAGACAGAAAGAAACTCTCTGTGACAGCAAGTCCATGGAGACTTCTGGGTACAAATCCAGGCTGCCTGAGTTGCTGTGGTAGATTGCCTCCAAAGATGCCTGCAGGTTTCCCCATTCCCCCCCACACAAGCCAGTCCTCCCATCAAGAGGATTTCCCCTCCCCTTGGTGCTAGGCTGGCCTGTGATCTGCTTCGGCTAATAGAGAGCAGCTGAAGTAACACTGTAGCAGTTCTGGGCCCAGCCCTTAAAAGGCTGGCAGCCTCTGCTTCTGTCCTCCTGGAAGCCAGTGCCATGCTGGAAGGAAGCTCTGGCTAGCCCATGAAATGAGAGTGGCCTCACAGAGCAGGCATCCCAGAGAAGGGAAGAGAACAAGGTGCCTCCATCGACAGCCGCAGCAAGAGCCCAAAGGTATGGGTGAGAGCATTTTGGATGTTCCAGCTCCAGCTCAGTTCCCGGCTGACTGCAGCCCCGTGAATGGCCCCATCCAGCACAATGAGAGCAGAACCACCCAGCTGGTCCAGACAGCCCACAGTGGTGTGGGAAATAACAGCATCCTGCTGTGCGGGCCGTTATGCTTTGGGTGGTCGTCACTGCTAGTGAAGCCCAAGGTTTGTGCTGGTGCCATGCTGGCTTGGAGCAAGAAGTCCACGCCGGGCTCCTCTGTCCTCCTGACATGATGGTAGGACACAGGCCCAGCACAGCCAAGAACAAGTCCTGTTGCTGGGGTGGTTTCTCCATGTAGCTGACGGGAATATTTGACAGTAAAATGCTGGTGGTCCACTTAAGTTCAGCCATGATCAAAGTGCTTAAAATGCAACTTTCCTTCAGCAGAGCCAAGTTATATTTATTTGCAGCTGGATTCTGTTTACTCTGATTAAAGGAGATGCCCAGTCTGCTCTCCCTCAGTTGATCTGTGCACCCACTAATCCAGGCCTGCATGACAGGTGTTTGGATAAGGGCTCCTTCCCAGGCTGGCAGCTGGCACAGATCACAAGGGAGAAAGACCCATGCTTGAAGTTATGACAGCCCAGAGTCAGTGCAAAATTATTTCCTAAAAGCAGCAAATCCAGGGCCAGTGAGCACTTAAATTATTCTACAGCCAGGTTTCTCAACCTTGGCACCACTGGCATTTTGAACTGGATAATTCTCCATTGTAGGGGACTGTCCTGTGCATGGCAGGGTGTTCAGCAGCACCTCTGGCCCCTGCCCACTAGATGCCAGGAGTGTGCTACTGCCTTGACAGCTGAAAACTGCCAATTGCATCTAAGGTCAGAGTGGGTTGTAGGGGAGAAATCACCTTGGTTGAGAACACTGCTTTGGCTGATCTCTGACTTCATGAAAGGACACCCTCTCAGGGACGGCTTGAGGAGGTCTTTGCAGGTTATGCAGAAAGCAGGTTACCAAAAACTAGAAATAACAATGTTGCCACCCTACATTAGCACTAGGAACACCCAGAACACCAACCATTGGGGCAGCAGGACTGGAGAAAAACAATTAGTGATGCTACACTTATTATTATTATTCTAAATTTGGGGTAAAGCACCTCTTTTTTGCAAAAGGGTTGGAGACATATCTCTTCTGCTGAGTGTTATTTATTCATGTAACAGAAATGATGAGTACTCAGGCACTGATTAGATTAGTGGAAAGAAATGCTACTCTGACGTCAAGTATTCTTTGCAGTTGACCTCCTCCTTGCTAGGTAGTTAAGCCCTCATTCCCTGCTTCCAATATTGTTCCCTTTTCTATCATTGTCTCATAGGAAACATCTCCCTTGATTCCTCTAACATTAGGACTGTTTGAGAGTTGATTTAGGAGTGAGTACTCTGACACAATGTTTCCCTGACTCATGGACTAGGTCATCCAACAGAAAAAACCTTGGAGGCAATTTCTATTTCAGTAATGTAATCAATTCAGACAGAGAATGAATCAAATTCAACACAACCTGCAATATGATAGTGCAAGTCTGAATGGCTTAGTGGCTGTATTATCTTCTCAGCTAGGAGTTCAGAGAAAGTTAAGCATACCTTCAGATACCAAGACCGTCCCACACCCCCATGTTCCCACACCTGCCCAGCTCAGGATCAAGAATCATACTCTAGGTTGGTCTTACCTTGAGGAAAATATAGAGGCCTTTTGTATTCTGATGCCAGCAATTGGCCAAGTCTAGCATCTGGAGTTTGCATGCACTGTCCAGTTAGGAGCATCTGGGCACCCAACAGCAACATCTAATATTGCCATAAAGGCAAAGAGCATTCTGATGTCAAATAGCCCAGCCTCCAAAGGCCTTTGAAATATAGGCCTTTATTTCAAGGAACAGCCAAATATAATGGAAAAAGCAATGAAAGTTAGCAATGCTTTGTGAGGGCATTTCTGAGGACACCTTCAGAAGCATGCCAGCCTCCAAGGTGCTCTGCCCTTTGTACAGCCACTGGGAAGACAGGTGACCCTAGGCCCGACAGCTTGCACTGATAGCTCTGGCTCAGGTCCCTCTGTAATACCTGTATGTGAGTCATTTTCCACTTAGCTAGGACAGGTAAGCCTTTCCCCATTGCTGTGGGCCTCCGTGTTAATGTCTCTGGTGGCTTACATACCTGTAGATGCCTTCCACTACAATGAGAATCTTTTTCCAGGCTCTGTGGGTTCGCGGCTGGCCGTAGATCACAGCATCTCTCAGGAGCTTCTCTAGGTTTGGTATGTCTTTAAATACACCGATAAAGAAATTTAGTCATAAGTAGGTCTTTCTTTTCCTTCCCTGTTTTCTTTTTTGAGAAGGCATGAGTTTTTTTAGACTCAGGCTAACTTTATTTTAGGCTGAACTTTCTGAGAGCAAAGTGGGAATTCGAGAACACCTGGCAGGAAAGAGAGGTCTATTTTCTGGTAAAATTTAAAATTTAAATGACAGGATGACATGTCAGGTTTTTATAGCAGGAAGAATGAACCTCCACTGGAGGCACTTGGTTTCATAGGTTCTTAACAGGCTTGCGTCTCCTGTGTAAGCAGAGATTGAAATTCTACATTAAATGCATCCCTTAGGCTTCAGCTTCATTGCCAGGTTAAAATGAACTACTCTGAGAGGTATCATTAACTAACACTCACCAAGTGTTTAGCCATGAGCACATTAGGCTTGAGCCGAATTTACACGGAGCAACCGTGTTGCTGAGAGGTGTTACATTTCCTAACCTTTGGGACTTGACTTTCAACATCCTCCAACCTTGGAGGTTTCACAACTTCAAGGCAGTGGAACAATGAGCACTCATTTGCAAATTCTTTATAGGCTTCTGGACACATTAAATAAGACCTCACAACTACTGAGCCCCATCTGCCTTCCAGGTAGCCTTCTGAGAACATTCTGAAATGGGAATAATTCACTTAGTCCTCACAATTACCCTAAGGAGGGGTATCTCCAGTTTATTTTTCAGAAAACAGAGACACAAACTGTTCTGGTAAATTGCCTGAGGTCTATGACCATAAACAGCAGAGCCAGGAGTTGAACCTATGCAGTTTGTACAGTAGCCCACATTGTAATCACTACCTTTTATTATCTTATGTGAATGCCATTGTCCATTCTTCTCACACTCCATGGTCACATAGAGCAGGCAAGGATGACTGATAGATTACTCTTTTTAATTTTTGATGTCAAATATAATTAATAGTGACTTTTCATTTATCTGCAATCAGATGTAGATGAATGGGCTTTGGTTGAGAAACAGTTGGGAAAGATTTGCCTACCAGTCCAGCTGTTTTTTTTTTTTTTTTTTTGTGTGTATACAAAGCTTAGAAAGAGAGAAAAAGGTGAAAGCTTATGTGCATGTTTTCTAGACTCATCATATTTCCACTACATTTCTTTGCACCCCCCCTAAGCTTTCTCTTTTTGAGAATCTGAAACTGAAGTATTTTAGTTATGGAAACCAACTTTAATTTGAACAGGTGGAGATGTTACTGAACTTCTATATAATGTTAATAACTGTTATATAATGTTCAACAGGCATTAGTGATCCCATGTAGAATGCTCACAGGAACAACCTTTAGATAAATCTAAAGCAGGACAGTCAATATTGGTTTTCCGTCACTGCACACAAGAATCAGTGTGCCCCAGAAGCAGAAGCAGATGTTCATTGGGTTATCAGGGTCTGAGCGCAGGTGAGCTGAGGTTCCTTGTGTCAATGCAGAGCCCTGTAATTTTGGCTGTTAGTCTCCAATCTGTGGCTGGGTCTGTTTTAGCACTTGTTCTGAGCCCTGTCCTCACAGTGCACAGTGTTAGGGCTCAGTCAGTGTTTGATGATTGAATCAGTTGTCTTCTCATGGGAAAGAATGTGAACCAGAAAACAGCAAAGAGAATGACTCTTTTAGATCTATATAGGAATTATGAGAAAGGATGATTGCCTTGTGTCTGAAGCAGTAGTTCTTTAACAGTGTTTTGCTTTTGTTTTAAAGATAGGCAGATACCTCTTTCTGAGTCTTCACGGAGGTAGCATGTTTTGTGACACTACCTCATTCTACCACTAGATGGCAGCCAAGGAAACAAAAATCAGCTGTCTTATTCTGAGAATTCTGGGGTAATAAAACTTCTTCGCCTGTATAGACATTGCTTTAGGCTGGGATCCTAAGATGTCATGATTGGGACAAACAGCTCCCTTTCCTGTCATCTACCTCAGGCTTGTTAGTCTCTGAATGGAAAAAAGAAATGACGAACATTGTGCTTTATGCTACTTAAAGATAGTTGTTCTTTCTGGGACTTGGAGTTTATACATTTTTATGCAGAAGCAACACCTGGTAAGAGTGGTTCCAATGACACAGGAATAAAAACAAACTCAGGTGACCTAAATTGTCAGTTGCTTAAAAAGGAATCTTCCAGGATTTTGAAAAATCTACATGCAGAGATTACTGTAAAGTTTAGGCAATCAAAAAGGTCACGTACATAATATAGGCTTTGTGTGGGATTATGTTTAAAATGAACTCCACTAAAGAAAGGAGAAACTCTTCCCCCCTGTTTTAATAACAAGTGGGACAGAAAACAAGTGGAAGAGAAGACAAGCCTTTAAATGGTCATGATATGTTTTATGCACTTTGCAGAAGGAAGTGAGAGGATTCCCAGTCTCTTAGTGGCAGGGACTCATCCTGAATGGACAGTTCCCTGGCGGGAGGCTATTGGTGGGATTTCACAAGGCCTCTGGTGTCCACTCACTGGGGTCCTTGAGGAAAAGAAAACTAATCAGTTGTTTTTCCCCTGTGAGGCTGGAACTCTCTGACTTCTTAGCGTGACAGAGGCTGGACAGAGAAATGGGTGACTTCACTCAGTGTGGGATTCTAGACCCGTGCTAGTGTCTGGTGGTCCCTCCAGGGTTCTTGGGGTCTTGCTCTGCAAGGCTAAGTGTGTGGGTCACTGACTGGTAGAATTCAGGGGTTTGGTTTACTTGCAGCAGGCCTGTGGAATTCTACTGTTTCAAAAGCCCCATGCTAACATCAGCTAGGGATTTTTAAATAATGATGCTTATTAAAGCACTTACACTTGAATTATGTTAATCCTTGTGACGCCTCTGAAAAGTAGAGAGGAATGATCAGATTAGGTTTTTTTTGTCTGATGAGCAAACTTATGCCAGAGGTTTGTGAAACCCAAAGCAACCACCAACACCAGAAACAAAAACAAAAACCCAAACTCAAACACACCAGTTTCTTGTTGGTTATAAAGAAAATACTGGGATATGGAAATCAAAAGAATAAATTTGATGCTATCAAGGCACACACACAGCTATATTGCATAATGTTGTTACAGGTTTATAATGACTATGGGACTTGTAATTGCCACATGTGAGAATCAACAGTGCCTCAGATATTATTCACCAAGTCTGGCTTGCCAAGGCGGTTTCCTTTGGTTTGTGAGGGGCTGGGAGGAGCGAGCTGGCATGGTGGGTGATGAATATTTAACTGTCAAAAATGGAAGTATGGAGGCCATGCTCTGGTGGCTGGTGCAAAGTAAGTCCCAGTCTGTCACAGGAATGGCTGGCTGGATTCATGAATCACTAAATATCTAGAATGTATTTCTGTATGCCAAAAGCTACAATCAGGCTTAGGCGATGAATACAAGCTGAGAGCCTATTTCTGGGCCTGTCTGCACACTTACAGCCCAGATAATATCAGCATGCCTCTGGGGTTTGGGAATGCTGCAGCTGCAGATAGAGCCCTCTGGAGAGAAGGCACAAGGAAACGAGGAAGCAGTAATCTTCTAGAAGAGAGATTGGGTGTAGTTCAAAGAGCGTCTTCCTGAAGATAAGGTGTGGCATGATCTTCCATAGGTCAAAGAACCAAGGTGATCTTGCAAGAGTGTAAAAGGCAACTGGGAGTAAAGGACCTGGGCTGGGCCTGAGGGTGAGGCAGGTGCTGGGGCAGGGCCTGTGGACCCTGAGGAAGGGTTCATACCAGCAACTTTTGACCTTGGAGGGCACCAGAGGAAGAGTAGGCAGAGCCTAATGCTTGGGAACAGTGTCCCAGGCTCTTGTCCTAATGCTGTGGGGGTGGGAGAGTCTGTGGAAATAGACAAAGTACTGAGATGGACTCCTCAGTGGTGACATGCAATTCAGGGAACTGTGTGGGGGCACACAGGTTGGTGATAGGATCCTGCGTTTTAGCTCAGGGTGGCAGTGAGGGCAACCAGAGTGAATGCTGGCTGTATTGGCCTTGGGCAGCTGCCCTGACTTGACTTGATGAGAGCTGTGTCAGAGGTGGAGGCTGCTAAGTTTTGCATATACCACTTTACCATCCTGGGGGAGACAGGGGGTGAAAGAGGCAGGGAAAGAGGTAAAGGTGCACTGTGCTTAACAAATGGGAACTCTGGAGTTGGCCCTCAAATGTTTACATCCCACCTCTGCCTCCTACTAGCTCTGTGTCTCTAAGCAAGTCACCTCTCACTTTGTGCCCCCGTTTCTTCACCTTATAAAAAGGGAGTAATCATAGCAGATGCCTCATTGTGCAATTGAGAGGCTAACCTGAGTTAATGCATGTAAAAGGCTCATTACAGCAAGCATTCAATACTGGTAGTTATTGTTAAAGATGTAGAGTCAATAGCTGCATCTACTAAAATGAACAGCCTAGTTCAGGAGTCCAAGTCATACCTAAAGATCTGTAAGATCATGGCTTGTAAAGCAGTAGGTTTGAACTTCCCCTCAAACAGCACTCATGACCCTTGTTCTGCAGATGAGGTAGGGCTCAGAGTTTTCCCACAAACACTGTGCTCTTTGTTCTTCTTCCTTTTGGCCTTAAATACCTCGAGGTTGAATCCTGGTCCTTCTTTTCCACCTGTTTTTTAAAACCCACTCTGAATTCTTGACCTGCCCAGACTTCTGATCTCGTGGTGACTCTCCTAGCTGAAGACACTGCTTCTCCTCTCCAAGACTAGCTTAAGAGGCCTGTTGTGACTCACTTGAGGATGGAGATTTCCTATAGCCTCAAAGTCTGCTTCTGCACCAGGAGCACAGGCATCACCTGGGAGCTTGTCAGAAATGCAGAAGCTCAGGCCCCATCCAGATCTGAATCAGAGTCTGTATTTAACAACCCACCCCCCACCAGGGACTCCTGTGCACACTAAAATCTGAGAAAGATTGTTCAGAATCTAGGATCTTATGTAACCACTAGTAAAGTGAGCAGACTCCGGGGTTAAAAAACAACTCAGTCTTGATTACCCCAAAGAAGATGCCAACCTT